AAATAAATTTTGGCTTGCAGATGGAGCATATTTCATACAAAAATTACTGGCACACAACATGAATGTAGCTCTCATAAGCCATTTTAACAGTCCTTTTGCAGAGCAGAGACACACTCTAAGGCAATGGGTCTCATTCTCATTTAGACCAGTCATTTGGTGCTATAAAAAGGAACTTAAAGATATGCATAAAATATTAACAACCCTTTACATCACCACAGAAATGTAAAGATTTATAAAGCCTTTAGATTGCCACAGATATTTAAATGGACTTTGCTGACATTGCTCAGCTTCAAAGCTTTATCGACAAAATCAGATTCTAGTCTGAAAACACAGCAGCTTATTTGGTTCCTGACAATTTCAGGGAGGAGTGAGGAATCCAGATTTGGCTCTTAGTAGACATTTTTGCCAAGATGATAAGAGAAACATAAAAAAATAAAGTGCTCAAGCACAGGATTTTATGCAGCTTTGTGCAGAGTGGTAGAATACTCTAAGACACAAGAAACTACATCAGAAAATCCTGTTATGAACAAAAAAGAACAACTATCACAAAACAAACTTAATTAGTATGTCAACATACAACAGAAAAAGGTCTTCTAAACAGGCCTGGGCAATACTGGAGACAAAGTTCTCCTTCCACACCAGTGTTTCACAAATAAGATCTCAGCTGTTCAAAGTAATTACACTGAAACAAACATTTAATTACTGTACACAGTATGAAACTGATCCTCATTTGAGACAAATAGACAATTGCTACAAAATACATATTTACCTTCCTTTCAGATATCAGATGAGTTTATCAGGGAACACTGACTTAAGATGCTCCCAAACATGAGACTGGGTTCTAGTCAACAGCACAGTCCCCCGGGTATCCGTTTCACAAACCACAGCAATGGTTATAAGCACTGTAGCTTGGTGCTGAACCAAAGCTGGAGCAAACTTTTAGAATAGACATATTAAAAACTATTCTTAAATGTTACTTAGCTATTCTAAACCTACTAAACACTACCGGATGAATCGTGTTGTGCAGTTATCACAACTTTAAAACATACTCCACTACTCTCCTTAAACTACCAATACAAACAGCTATAGTTTGCATATGAACTATGAATATTTAGGGAACTATTATTTTATAGCTTACATAATTAGAATCATAAAGCAGAATAGTGAACATAATCTTTTGACTTTTTTTTTTAATTTTTTTTTTTTTTGAATGTCAGTATCTCAGAATATCTGAAAGTTAGTTTTTATAGCCAAGGGTGTAATTAAGCTGCCCCACGTACAGGACAAGGGAAAAGCCTTTTAAAGACAGCTCGATGCTCTGCATCATGCAGCACTGCAACAAATGCTCATTGCTTTCATTGACTTCATCAAGACAATATACCAGCAACATATGAATGTTTAACAAAAAATCTAAGTGCAAACGAAGAGAGCAGCAAGGAAAAGGTTAACAAAGTTCATCTGTTCCACACAGAGCACATCCGAGTGAATATTGCTGGGATTTGAGAAGGGATTAAGCTGTCTGGTCGGAGCAGGGCTGGGCCACGCTGCCGGCCCAGTGACTACCCAGCAAACAGCATCTCCACATCACATGGCCTCACATAGTAGTAAATTACAGTTGCCAAGCAACAGCAATACTGGCGCAGATGGCTGACTGCAGTTGACATCTTTAGCTATGCAGATTAATTTATTATTT